GAAATCATCTTACGTTTTAAAGAACTGCCTTAGGGTCATATATTGTATGTATAAGGCAACTTGATCAAGAGGAAGTCAAATAATATATTTGAGCTGTGAGCTCTCTGCCAAATGTCCACTATTGTTAGAGAGACAAAAGGAATAAGACTTAAGTATATTTTATATAAAATATATGTATTATATACATATGCAATATATTTAATGATGATTTTGTATTTGTTGGCCAGAAATTGCAAAAATGCCAACGTCGCTTTCTCAATAAATTTATATATTTATTTCTTTATTTGCTATAGAATGTATATCATTATGCATATAGTATATCCTATCGTTACTGCTTTTGTCCCTCTAGGAATCGTAGAGATTTGGCAACTAGCTCTGAGTCTCACTGGGCATCTATCAAATTCTACTTTGCCTAGGAACGAATAAGTTTTATTTCAAATTAAATGAAATGAATTCTAAAATATCTCCTCATCAACGTATATATTTGTTGACTAATTTTCAGATGCTTCCTCTAGGTCTATATGTGTATATTTTATGTAAATTGAATAATCACAATTTAATAAATCATAAAACAACTGCCACATTGTCAAATTGAAACAAACTTTAACTCACAAAATATTTCCTATTAACTTGAATTTATTTGAACTTTCCTCACCAACTACAGCTGCTATAATCTCAGGTGTGAGAGCACCTGTTTTGATGAGACTCGCTCGAGTGAAGGGTGGAAAATTATCAGCTGAGACGCAATTTCAATTCAATCTCGTTAAAAGTGTGAAAATTCAACACACACACACACACACACACAAACAAAAGCAAAGCTCTAATGAAGCCATAGTTAGATTAAAGTGGGACAAGTCAACAAATTTAAAGTTAATAAAAACAGTTAAAAGTAACAACAACAGAAACAATACAGCAGCATGCAACAGTTGTGTGTGTGTGTGTGTGTGTCTGTGTAGGCATGCGAGTGCGTGTGCGTGTGCGTTCGATTTATATTTGAAGTCAGCCCGTGACGGGAGACGTCATGAGAAATTATCTAAAAACAGAATCAAATGGCGGCTGCACAAAGATGAGGGAGTGAGATCAAATTCTAATTAAACGGTTAGCTTGAGGGGATTAAAGTGGCGAAGGGGGTATTTGCGAACGTCCATAACAATAATGAAATATCATGTAAATGAAGGCGAAGGACAAAACGGAGCGGGACGGGGCGTGGCTCGGCAGTGTTGGCTGCTCTCTCGCTTTGGCATATTCATGTGAAAAATGCAAATGTTAATTACAAGCGGCCCCAAAATTAGAACAGTGCGCGTTATGCGTGACTAATGCCAGGCACTGTATGGATGTATATATGTATGTGTGTGTGTGTGTGAGTGTGCTGGATTAGGCCTGTAAATGTAGTTGATGAGCGCCAGTTGAAATTCAGAATGAAATGTATGCAAGGTTGATGGTATTGCATAAATATTTCATAGAAGAATTTACCTTTTCGGTTGGTAATTGTTGTTTGTTTGAGAGTGTTTGGAGAGTCAAAGAAATATATAGAGAGAGATTTCAAAAAATACATAAACAGAGAGCAAAAGAGAAAGA